TGTTGGGATAGGTTCAATTCGATTGAAGAATCAAGATGGATCAACCAGAGTTCTGACAGATGTCCGATACGTGCCCAGTTTGAAGAAAAATCTCATCTCGTTGGGAGCCTTGGAATCCAAAGGCTCAGTAGTCACTATGAGAGATGGAGTTTTAAAAGTCACATATGGCACACTTGTAATGATGAAGGGCATCAGGAAAAATAATTTGTATTACTACCAAGGTAGTACAATTATTGGAGCAGTTGCAGCAGCTTCCGGAGGTGATGATTTGGACGCAACCTAGTTGTGGCATATGCGGTTGGGACATGCTGGAGAGAAATCCTTGCAAATTCTTGCAAAGAAAGGATTGTTGAAAGGTGCAAAGGCTTGCAAATTGAACTTTTGCGAGCATTGTGTTCTGGGAAAGTAGAAGAGAGTGAAGTTTGGCACCACTATACATAATATAAAAGTTATTGTAGATTATATTCACTCAGATGTGTGGGGTCCTTCAAATACATCGTCTTTAGGAGGAAACCATTATTTTGTAACTTTTGTAGATGACTTTTCCAGAAGAGTTTGGGTGTATCCGATGAAGTCTAAAGATGAAGTGCTTCAAATTTTCCTGAAATGGAAAAATATGATCGAGAACCAGACTAGTAGAAAGATCAAACGTCTTGGGGCGGACAATGGAGGGGAATATAAAAGTGACCCATTCTTTGACGTTTGCCATGAGTATGGTATTGTTCGACACTTCACTGTTAGACATACACCACAAAAGAATGGGGTGGCAGAGCGTATGAATCAAATACTATTGGAGAAAGTTCTATGTATGTTGTCTAATGCTGGGTTAGACAATGCATTTTGGGCTGAGGCTGTGACATATACTGACCATCTTATCAATCGTCTGCCATCATCAGCGATAGGAGGAAAAACACCATTGGAGGTATGGTCTGGAAAACCTGCTACTGATTATGATTCCTTACATGTATTTGGATCCACTGCTTATTATCATGTGAAGGAATCCAAGCTTGATCCGAGAACAAAGAAGGCTCTCTTTATGGGAATCACCCATGGAGTGAAGGGATTCCGCCTTTGGTGTTTAGACAGCAAGAAGATAATTTGTAGCAGAGATGTTACCTTTGATGAATTTGCCCTAGTAAAGAAGGTAACAAGTGAAGCTGTCCAGACAAGTAGTACGCCGCAACAGGTGGAGCATACTCCAAAACAGGTGGAGTTTCAGCAGACGATGATCCCAGAAGTTGATGCAGCTGATTCTTCAACTCCAATAGAAAAATCAGAAGATGAAGAGGTTCAAACCTAAGAACCATTGGAGACACCAGAACCACTTGCAGTTACAAGGCCAAGGAGAGAAATTCGTAGACCTGCTCGATTTGTTGATATGGTGGCCTATGCTCTTCCAGTTATTGATGATGATATCCCTATCACTTACCAAGAAGCAATACAAAGCTTGGCAAGTGATAAGTGGAAAAGTGTCATGGATGAAGAAATGCAATCTCTCCAAAAGAAAAACACTTGGAAACTGACACAATTACCGAAAGGTAAAAGAGCCATTGGATGCAAGTGGGTATTTGTAAAGAAAGATGGATCTCATAGCAAGAAAGATGCTCGCTACAAGGCACGGTTGGTAGCTAAAGGCTACGCTCAAAAGGAGGGAATCGACTACAATGAAGTATTTTCCCCTGTTGTGAAGCATTCATCCATTAGAATATTGTTGGCCTTGGTAGCACAGTTGAATTTGGAGCTAGCTCAACTTGATGTAAAGACGGCTTTCTTGCACGGTGATTTAGAAGAGGAGATATATATCACTCAGCCAGAAGGATATAAAGATGGTGGTTGTGAGAAATGGGTTTATAAGCTGAACAAATCGCTATATGGATTGAAGCAATCTCCGAGGCAGTGGTACAAGCGATTTGATAGCTTTATGAGGAGGCAAAAGTATACTAGAAGCAAATATGATCATTGTGTGTATTTGCAAAAGCTCAAAGATGGATCTTTCATTTATCTTCTCTTGTACGTTGACGATATGTTGATCACTTCGAAGAGTCAAAAGAAGATAGACAAATTAAAGGCTCAGTTGAATCAAGAGTTTGAGATGAAAGATCTAGGTGAGGCCAAGAAGATTCTTGGTATGGAGATAAGCAGAGATAGACAGAGAGAGAAGCTTTGTTTAACACATAAACAGTATCTGAGAAAGGTATTACAATGTTTTGGCATGAATGAAAATACCAAACATGTAAGTATCCCATTGTCTTTTCATTTGAAACTTAGTTCTCAATTATCTCCTAAAACTAACGAAGAACGAGTGTATATGGCAAAAGTTCCATATGCTAATGCAGTTGGAAGCTTGATGTATGTAATGGTGTGTACGCTTCCTGACATTTCACAAGCAGTTGGAGTTGTGAGCAGGTACATGTATGATCCTGGAGAAGGACATTGGCAAGCTGTGAAATGGATTCTACGGTATCTCCAACAAACCATGAATGTTGGTTTAGTTTTTGAACAGGATGAAGCACTTTGTCAGTGTGTGGTTGGATATGCTGATTCCGATTATGCTGGTGATTTGGATAAGCGTCAATCAACTACTGGGTATTTGTTTACTCTTGCTAAAGCCCCAGTGAGTTGGAAGTCTACATTGCAATCTACGGTGGCCTTGTCTACTACAGAGGCAGAATACATGGCAGTTTCAGAGGCTGTAAAGGAAACAATTTGGCTTAATGGGTTGATGGAAGACTTGGGAGTTGTTCAAAGTCACACTAGTCTCTATTGTGACAGTCAGAGCGCTATTCACTTAGCGAAAAATCAAGTATACTATTCAAGGACTAAGAATATCGACGTGAGGTATCACTTTGTGCGGGAGATCTTTGAAGAATGAAAGATTCTACTTCATAAAATTGCGACATCAGAAAATCCTGCAGATATGATGACCAAGGTGGTAACAGTAATCAAGTTCAATCATTGTTTGAACTTGATTAACATCCTGAAAGTATGAACACCTTCGGGTGTGTAGCGCTTGTGAGCGCAATTAGAGGCACTACAAATTTGGGGAGTTGAAGAAGTTGAGTAGGCTTGGTAATTTCAAGCCAAGGTGGAGATTTGTTAGATTTGTCTAGAAATTAAGTTGACAAGTTGGAAATTTCATCTTGGTTGGTGGCCAAACTTTGAACATGTGAATTTCATATTTGGTGGCTAACTTGTACACATTGGAAAATTCTTTGGTAGGTGGCCAAACTTTGAACATATTGTTCTTAAAACTCAACTATAAATAGGCATAAGTATTTCCATTAGAAATCATCCCAAAAACAAGTTCTCTCTTCCTCTTGTATTCTTCATTCTCCCACTTTGGGAATTCTAAAGAATTCCATTTGTTGTAATATTGGAGATATAGTGAAGTTATCATCCGGTGTGGTGCCCGAGGAGTAGACGATATTCTCGTCGAACCTCGTAAATTTGGTGTGTTCTCTCCTTTATTGTTTTTATTCGGTTCTTTTCCATTGTGTTTCAATATTCAATAGTTTGACAGGTTTATCCGCTGTGCAACCTTTGGTGGTTTTAATCTTGACATTTTAGGTCAATTTTAAAACTACGTTCGTGTGGGAAATAACTTGTTTTCCCCAACAGTGTTCCTGGCTCGTGCTGAGGGTTACTCTTAGGGTTCTCTTATGCAGGTTTCTTATATTATTTTCGTTTCTTTTCCACTTCAACTACTTGATATCCTCCGCAGGGACACTAATGATCCCCTACCTTCGGATGAATAAATTATTGTAATGACTTTTGTCTCTCTTTTATTAAAAAATAAAATATCCTATTTCGGTTCTTTATTATCAAATGATCTATTGATAATATATACACATATACTTATAAATATCGAATATAAATCTCAATTCTTAATAAATTCTTAATTTTATGGAATCATCATTATCCAAATTAAAACTCACAATCACATCTAATAATTCAACTCTATTAAACTGAATGGGTAGACGACTCATTGAATAGTTCTAGTCTTGAATCAGTTAAAAAGAGTTTAAAAACAGTAATTTGCTTACCTATTTACAATTAGAATGTGGTTTGGTAATTATTTATAATTAGGTCAAGGAAACGCCGGACATGGAACATTCATCAATACCATGCCAATTTTGGTATTTATAATTGAATATATTCCAATAAATCAATTTAATTTAATAGAGCAGAAAGTGTTGTTTTGACATTTTCATTTTTCCTTATTTATCTTTAATTTTATATTATTTATAATATTTATTTCTCAATCTGATCAAGGAGTATACTCGGTGACAAAGCTAGAAAGTGGAAGGGATGATGTCCCTAATTTTTTTATTTAATAGTAATTTTAATCTTTACTAAGCATTTATAAATTTATTTTTTTAAATTTTGAGATTTAAAATTAATTAAGTCCTATTAGTTTTAAAATTGACATCTTAGTCCTTCTCATTCTCTAATTTTAGTTCCGTCCCAGAGTATACTTATGTAGTAACACCATATATATATATATATATATATATATGTAAACAAAAATAATTGTACAGTATCCTCCACTAAATATTATTTAATGAACTTAAGTAAAAATATACATTTATGGATTATCAATTTATCAAATACAAATACACAAAACTATTCGATGTATATTGATGTACCAAGCAAAAAAGGGAAATGTAAAAAACATACCAAAAGTATCCATTTTAGAACGTTGGTTGATACATAGCGGTAAGTAGGGTTTAAACTTAAATATTATAGATGCGGACATAACAAATGTATATATTATGGATATATTCAAATTTCCAAAGTGACAACCATGATTTTAGGTGACTTCCATCTAAAACCCTGAAAATCTACAATGAATCAGCCAAGATGGAAATGTAGTTAATGCTAATAATGTTGGAATGGAATTTGTGCTATCCCTCCTCTTTATGTATATTCGAACCGTACAGTGTTGTTATTCATTGTATAGTTCCAAAGAGAAGAAGAGTGGTATTTTTCTCCTTGAAAAAATGGAACAAACTGTAGTGATTGTTGGTGCCGGACCTTCTGGTCTTGCAACAGCTGCGTGCTTAGCGGCTCACTCTATTCCTCATGTCATCCTCGAAAGAGAGGATGTTTATGCTTCTCTTTGGAAGAGACGAGCTTATGATCGGTTGAAGCTTCATTTGGCCAAAGAGTTTTGTGCTTTGCCCTTCAAACCACACTCACCGGATAGCCCTACTTACATACCTAAAGACATGTTCGTGGACTACCTCGACGACTATGTCAGAACGTTCGACATCCGACCGAAGTATTACCGGTCCGTGGAATCAGTTGTGTATGATGAAGCTGAGGGGAAATGGCGGATCGAGGCGAGGAACACCGAGACCAGGGGTGTGGAAGTTTACGTTGCTGAGTTCTTGGTGATAGCTTCGGGGGAGAACAGTGTCAAATACATCCCCTACTTGCCTGGGCTGGATACTTTCGAAGGTGAAATCTTGCATTCCAACGAGTACAAATCGGGTGCCAAGTATGAAAACAAGGATGTCCTAGTCGTTGGTTGTGGTAATTCGGGCATGGAGATAGCTTACGATCTATCGAATTTCGGAGTTCGCTCATGGATTGTCATAAGAAGCCCTGTAAGAATATGTCTTTTCTCTTACATATATAAGTGACGGATTAACACTAATAAGTACAAGATAACAAAACAGATAAATAGAAGATGTTTTTCGCTTTCATTTTGCTCTTATTTTTTTACAGTTTCATGTGTTGACCAAAGAGATCGTGCGGGTAGGGATGACAATGTCCAAGTACATCCCGATTCGTCTTGTTGATTTCATGGCCGTAGCGATGTCGAATATAGTGTTGGGAGATCTGTCGGAGTATGGGATCCGTCGACCAAAGCAAGGTCCTTTTTATCTTAAAGCAACAGCCGGGAGAGCTCCTGTGATTGATGTTGGAACTATTGGCAAAATCAAATCTAAAGAGATAAAGGTCAACTGATTCAAATTTCAATTTTTTTTAAAGATTTTAATTCCATTACAAGATAATATCTTTGTTCGATTTTAAATAAAACAATACTTTGGTATATGATATATGTAGGTTGTCCCAGCGATATCAAACATAGATGGAAAGAAGGTATTATTTAAGGATAACGTGGAGAAAGAATTCGACGTGATAGTTCTTGCGACGGGCTATAAAAGCGTTACTAATAACTGGCTCAAGGTAATTTCATTTCCCAACTTCGCTTTACTTTTATTTCTTGCTAAGTTGAAAGGTTTTATTGTAGCAATGAACATTTGTAGAGAACAAAAATTTAAACCATACCTAAAGAATTTATGGAAAAAGATTGATTATTAACGAGATGTTAAATCTTTTATACAAGGTAATTCAAACTTTATAAATGAAGAAATTAGATTAAAAGAATCGTTTCTACTTTTAGTGAATCTATGATCAATCATTTTTCGGTTTTTATTTATCATAAAAACCGTTAATTTTTAGTGAGTTTGTGATTATTATTTTTGTCGATTTCAATTTAATATCAATCACATGCTCCCATATGAATGACTTTTTTGTCTTGTGTCTTACCTAAGATAAATTTCTAATAATATTGGTTTTAGTACGATGAAACATGCACGTGTATGATCAAATTTTGTTCAATACATATAATATTTATGAAATGAAATTCAAATCAATTCAAAAGAAAAAATTAGGAATGCGAAATATTTAAGCTGCATATTTCAAGCTCTAAATCTATTATATGTTTGAAGAAAACATAGAATAACTCCAACATAGAGAGTAGATTATTTATAAGTACTTCTCTTAACGATGAATATGGATATTTCTATACAGGACTATAACTATATTCTGAATGAGGAAGGGATGCCTAAAAATCATTTCCCGAATCATTGGAAAGGAGGAAACAACCTCTACTGTTGTGGGTTATCGAGGAGGGGATTATTTGGTTTGTCGATGGATGCTATGGCCATTGCTGATGACATTAAGAAAGTTGTCAGTGAAACGAAGAACAATCGAAAATGATGCTTCTTGAAGCGCCGTCTATTACTATCTTACTAGGGTTTATGAGAGTTTTCTAAAATATTTTATCTATTTACTTTCTCTGTGTTTGTGCTTGTTAATATATCTAATAATCATGTATGCATGTCCTTAATTAATATATATGAACATATAGGTGCATGCATGATTGTATTTGAGCAAGTATAATAGTCACTTACAACCTCTATTTAAAGTGTTGTATGCGATGGAAGTTTCTTTCTCACAAAGTTATCACTTCTCTTTCACTTCTTCTTAACAAAGTGATAAAACGAGCTTGATTTGGTATTGAAAGTAGATGGTCAACACTGAAATGTTTTTATTTTGATTTTCTTATTTTATAAAAAAAATGATTATGAAAATTAGTGTCTACACATGAAGGGTTTATTTGACTCGCATGATGTTTAGGGCACCACTCGGAATAACATGGATATAAACTTCATCACGACGACGCATCAATATAAAAAAAAAGATATCCTGACGAAAATAAAAAATAAAAAAATATCAAGTCTTTATCCTCATTCATCAATGTTTGGATAGATTGATGATTATAAAAGTGGGTAATATCAACACTATAAGCTGATTACTTTTTTCATCGAACCTCCTACAATTTATTGCAATTCGTCTAAAGTTCTTCTAAATTCTACTTTTTCTAGCAATAAACCTCCGTGTAAAACTGTTTTCAAACCTGTATTCAGTTTCATCAAAGGCCACAATCTCATTACTACTGTTTCCAATCATTCCGCTTACTGTTCGAGTTCCGACTCAGCTGTCGTGTCCAGCAACGTCGAGGAAGAAGATGCAGAGTCCATTGAGTTTTTCGAGGTTTCTTTTTTCTTTCCCTCGTTTTCAATTTTCTCTTGAAATAATCGTTTTGTCAATGAGAAGATATTGTTGGGTGTGGAAAGTGGAAATAAAAAAAATTGAAACCTGTTTGGTTGTTGCTTTTAGTTTTCGGACGCTAAGGGAAAATTACTATAATTTTGAATGCTCAGAAGTTAAAAAAGTTTGAATTTTTGGGATAATTATAGGCTTCATTTTGCTTTCATATTTTGAGGGAGCAATTAAGCTAAAGCAAGTAGGAAAAGTAGGAAAAATGACATTGCATGTGTGTAATGCTTTGTTGAAGTAAAAAGAAAGTTGCAAGAGCAAAGGCAAACAGAAACGGTACCTGACATGTAGCCACATAGTTCTAATGGTATTTGATGCAAATTAGAGAATCTGGATTATGAAATGCTTAGTGATTTCGTATATTTGGAATAATTCACCTGTATGTATGGTTTTTAATTATTACAGTGGATATATATTATGTTTCATCCTTTGTTGTGATGGATCCTTCTTTAGATTTAATCTAAGAATAGCCAGTATTAGATCTTACGAGCTCTATGTTTTTGAACTAATGGGAAAAAAATTCTTTCCTAATTTTACAGGAATCTTTTCCTAAACCCTGGAGTGTAGAATTACATTGTCCTTATTATCTCTTAGGATTACCACTGTTTTTTATGATTTTAATAACCTGTAGGTTTTCCTTGTCTTTTGACTTTTATTGATTTCAATAATATTCCAGAAATTAAAGGATGCAGAGAGACAAAGAATAAATAAACTGGAAGAGCTTGAAAGGAAGGTTGACTTGCAGTTAGAGAGACAGCTTGTCATGGCTTCCTCCCCATCTCCTTCTTCATCACCCTTCTTTCATATCCCGAAACCTACCGGTTCAATCCATTTCAGTCTCTTGTAATCTCGTTCTCTTGGCCGCAACCGCACCCAATTTTATTCCGGCTCTTTCCCGCCCCCCTCTTGTTCTCGCCGCTATCTCACTCGTGGAGTTTGGGTCCTCCTATGCGTTGGATTCAGCCGATTACGTTGCCAGTGGGATTAGGTCTAACTTCTCCAGCAACGTAGAAAGGTCATTGGAGAAGTGGGACTTGGAGGAGGAGGAGAAGAATGAAATGGATGATTTCGGATGGAAGAAGATGAGACAGCTGAAAGACGGGAGGTTCAGTAGAGACGCCATAGATGCCGTGGGTTGGAGGCGGAAGATTTGTATGGTGAACGTGGCGAAACAAGGGACTCTCTATGATGTCGATAATGACATATGGGAAGAGATGCCGGAAGGATTGTGGACGGTTGGAGAGGACCCGTCGCCGCCATGGACGAGGAGGTTCTATACGCCGTTGATGAAGATAAGGGACTACTCATAAGGTATAACAAAGAAAGCGATAATTGGGAGCCGATAGTGGAGATCGCGAGTCTCAGAGGAGCACGCCAAATGGCCGCCGGTGGCGGAAGACTCTGCATGATTTGCTGTGACGCGGAGATTTTAGTAATCGATGCTGCAGCGGCGCAGCCCAAATTCTGTGCTGTGAAAAGGCTGCCGGAGCTAGAACCGTTGGCAGTCCACGTCCTTCCCCGGCTAAGCCGCCTTGATTTTCAATTGTCGACAGGTTCGGAATGAGCTTTACCTAATCCACTATTCAAACTTTCATACTACTTTTTAAAAAAAGATTTCTCATGTCATGGAAAGTGAAAATTTGTCGATTACTGAATATGAAAGGGTAAAGTACACCATTTCACTAAAGTATGTTAAAACGATCAATTTGGTCACTAATATTTAAAAATAGCATTATTTTAAATTTATTAAATTAGTCTTTAAATTTATCACTCTTTTATAATAGTATAATGATAATTTTTAATAAAACGGTAAATTTAATAATTATTCTTTATAACTTTTAAAACTTTAATAATTAAAAAGTATTTTAATAGATTATTTTTAACTTAATTCAATAGATTATTTTAACTATTCAAGCTTTACAAAGGTCACCTATTTATTTGAGGCGCAGAAAGTGAGGTTTTGTCGTGATTTTTGATATATAAAACCGGTATAATCAACATCAAATTTTGAACCCACAACCATATCATCTTTAATAATCATTCATTCGTTTTGAGCCTTCTAAGATTGAACCCAAAACCATCAAGTTTCTACAAACACTTTCAAAATTGTGAGAAAATTTTCATCTACTTATATTTTAAAAAGATACTCATCAAATTTAGCTTGAGATTTTATGTTAATTGAGATATAAATTACAACATGTAAACATATGTTTTGAAACTTGTAAAGATTCACCAAGAATTGGATTTCCTCTCTTCTGTAAAATCCTTTTCTTCCCCTCTTCTTAAAACACCAAATTGTCAACCAGGATATGTTTTTTAGGTTTAAAGTTTAAAATTTTCAGGATTGAGTAATATTGTTCTGTGCATGAGCCAAGATTGAAAGAGATGGTTTTGTTTATGCCTTGATTTCTGGGATATAATAACATAAAGCACACCATTCTAAATAAGACAACAGAACTAAGGGGAAAAGGAGCAACAGATTTGGTCTGAGATTACCAGGAAAACAGCAACTTTAATGTTGCTTCTACTTTACATCTAATGATTCTGTCCAAATCTAACAAAGGAATCATCAATATCACAACTGACATGCAAGCATCCATTCAAAACATTATACGAGGGTCATATGTCAGTTACAGAAACCAAACATTCAATGTTTAAACTCAAAATTCCATTACAGAAAGCATGAAAACATAAGATGATAAATCAAACAGACACAAGGTATCTCAAATGCAAGTGTACCTGTTAAGAAAACTGGTAAACCAAACAGTAGTGATATTCCTAAAAGGGGGGGGGGGGAAGGGTGCAGACATATCAAATTCGACAATCGAAGGAGTGAGTTTTATGACATCCTTATTCAAAGGCACCAATTATTTGAATTGTCGACTTCAGTGAAAGCTGCCAACATGGATAGAATATCATCTTCCTCACAAACTTGAGGAGCCACGGTAAATGAATCAGAAACATTCCAAATCATTTGACCATCATCTTCAGAAAAGGCATCCAGCAGAGATACAATGTTGTTATCGATGTGCTCTTGATCTTGAGGAACCAGAGCAAGTTGAGGAGCCTCCAACGATGCAGGAACAGAGTCAGTTACAGCAACCATGGGAGCTTCAGTATTGACTACACATGTAGGGGAAGTATAAGCATCAGCATCAGTGACGGTGGTACAATTTACTTTGTCATTAGTATGACCAACCCATGGCTGTGGGTGAACCCCACTTGAATCGACAGTAAACCCTCCACATGTAGGGGAAGTATGAGCATCAGCATCAGTGACAGTGATACAATTTACTCTGTCATTAGTATGACCAACCAATGGCTGTGAGTGAACCCCACTTGATTCGACAGTTGATCCAATACATAGGCTCTCAGGGATGCATGAGGCACTAGCAACAGCTACTGTAGACCTAACGCAAAGGGAACTAGTACCAGGCAAATTTGTCTCATCATTGTCGTCACTCCAATCGTCTTCCTTAAATGGTGCTCCATATTGAGCACCATTTTTTGGGCCCATACCATCCTTCTTGAAGACAACATAAAGCATGTAGGAATCTTGAACAATCCCTCTGTCAGCCAGTTTTTTTACTTCAAGTCTGTATTCGTGCATCACCCAATCCGTTCGATCACCACGTGGAGCTTTACCTTGGTGAAAAACCAAGGTTTTTATCATCCCTACAACTTCGTCATTGTACTTTACAGCTCTATCTTTTCCTGTGGCTTTCCAATAGCCATATACAGATGCCCGATTCACCCTATCTCCTCTACTGTATTTCTTTGCCATTGGACAATAAAAGTGCCATTTAAGGTCCCCGGTCTTCAAGCACGACTTATCAGGCAAGTCCCATGGTGCATATTTGTAAATATCGACTTCAGCAATTGGATTGACGGAAAGCTTCTTACCCAATATTTTCCGCTTCAGATAATACATAATAAGTTCCACATCAGTGGGGTGGAATCGAAACCCGGTGCCAATGAGTTTTTACCCATCAGAAAAGTCCAAAGTAATCACTAGAAAATGAATTACAAAAAACTGTGACTCCGCTTAGAATAAAGTAGCAGAGCAGAATCGAAGAATCCAAACGAGAAAACTGGTC